CCTCACTCCTTAAAATAACATGATCGTGCTGAGTGTTAATAATAAGAATTTTAATAATAATAATAATATAGTAATAAAATAATAATAATAATAATGCTTTTTATTCCTTTGAAATAACACTTGCAGTAACTGGCCCACAAAAGCAAAGAAGATTGCCTAGGCAGACCAAAAACATTTACAAATGAAATGAATGGAACACAGTATTACAAGTAGCACTATAAATAAAGTAATTAAACATAATTGTAAAACACGGAAGTATTTGCTCCATGTAAAAAAAAAAAACACTACTCTCTACATGCAAATCAAACAAAATCACTGAAATATTAACAGATTCCAAACACCGTACAACCTCACTTGAAATATACCATAATGAACAATAATTGAACATCAACGTAACATAACACATAAATAACTCAGGAAAAACAAACTAAACAACAGGGAAATCAGGTTTTACATTCTAGACACTACTTTTTAAGAGCTTTCTTCTCCGTTCGCAAGGATGATATACTAATCAAATTATCGGGTAATTTATTACAAAGGGAAGGAATATAGTGCCGTTTCATTCTCTTTCCATAGTTCGTAAGTATTTTGGGTATTACGTACCTTTCTGTACATCTCATGTTTCTCTTTTTGACCTCAATTTTCGAGCTCTTATCGTAGTAATGCCGTGTTAATACTACATATTCATACACATTAGAAAAATACATTATACTTAGTTCATTCATTTTCATATCTATTACTAGGTCATCATATGTGGTTCCGCACGCAACGCTCTTCTCAATCTGTTTGAGTAGTCTATATATTCCTTGCTTTTTATTTCCTGCACATTGACCAAAAACTGTAATACCGTATCGCAAAGGTCGACTCTCCTAAGGCCATAGAAATAATTTTCCTAACATTTATACCACAAACGCTCTTTAACCGGTAAAGATACGCTAATACTAAGCGAAGCCTTTTTTATTTTTAAATAAATTTTGCATGATGGTTTTATAAAATGGGTTCGTCAAAAAATATGCCTAAGTACTTTACAGACTGTTCGTATGGAAGTGCTATACTTTTGTAAGAGTTGCATGCCATGCCCCGAATTTAAATAAATACCTGCCGTAAGCTTCATCTGTCTTTGCGGATTACGGAAAGACATAAGTTTTGTTATTATTTACTGAAATAATATTTTCAGAAAACCACTGCAATAACATATTCACGTCCTTTGGAAATATTATAATTGCGTTTTCGTATATGTCATATGGTAATAGTAGAACTGCATCGTCTGCATATAAGAAGGTTTTAGACTGTAGCGGTAAAAGACTTAACTCATTTATGTAAATATTAAATAACAACGGGCCCAAAGTGCTCCCTTGAGGTACGCCGCACTGAACCCGAGTTTTATCACTTACACAATTTTCTATTTTCACCAATCGAAATCTGTCTGTGAGGTAGTCATGGAAAAAATTGTAAAATGGTCCTATAAAGCCCATTCTTTCAAGTTTTTCTAGAAGTAACGTATGATCTATGGTACCGAAAGCTTTCGATAAATCTAGGTATGAGACTATCGCAATTTTATTGTTATATGATCGCAACATTGTACGATTATGATGACATTCCATGTACCGCCCCCTATGTAATGCCCCCTGTGGGTCTTGACTCTTTAGAGGTAATTAAATGAATAAATAAATAAATATCGTTGATGCAGTCCGAGAAATCCTAAAAAAGTACTGTTGTGCTTTTATTTTTCCGAAAGCCCTACCGCGAATCGGTAATAATGGAACATTTTTCACAGACGATATTCATATTTATCTGAACCCATTTTTTCATGATATGCGAAATTAATGGCATAATTCATATAGGTCGGCAACTCCCAAATTTTTTTTTATTACCGCCTTTGTAAAGAGGTCTATTTACTGCAACTTTTAGCTCTTTGGGAATTTGTCCTTTAGTAAAGGAGCCGCTAATTATTATAAGTAATACTTGTTTTAGACTATCTATATTGTAACGTAAATCTCGCACACGCATTTTGTCTATACCTGGTGACTTTGTTATGGATATAGGATCTATGACGGTTACAAGATCATCCTCAAACATTAGAGGCAAGTATGCCCAGTTTTTGTTACCGAACTTGGGAGCGTATGTTTTTGTTTCTACTGGTATAATTATTATTTTCTCTCAATTGCTGAACGCCACTGACAAAAGAACTATTAAAAGAGTCTGCTAACATAGCGTAGTCATCAGCATTGGGGAAATGATTTTTTATTGTATGGTCAATATTACTTCTTTTCTTCCTTCCAATTAACTGACTGACAAGATTCCAGGTTTCTGCTGAATTTTTTTACCGACCGGCTAAATTTTGTCGTGTAATGCTTCCTTCTTGCCAATCGAATTTTGGCTGTTAGTTTATTGCGCACCTCGCGAAACTTCTTGTTTAAAAGCACGTCTTTAGGTTTCAGTTGACATCTCTTCCATAGGCTGTTCTTAGTGTGACATTTAATTCCAAGATTTCTTTGGCAATCCCCTCGCATTTTCTCGTCGTCGCTGTCTAAGTTGTACTTTACTTTCCGATTTTCGATATATATATCTTGAAGTATGTATATCAAAGTATTATATGCTAAAATGTGGTCCAGGGATAGTAACAAATTCCAGTCATATGTTATCATTAATTGGTCAGTTTTTCTGTTATCTAAAATTATTCTCCATCCGTCCCTTCCCACTGAACAGTCACTTTGCATTTCACCCCTTATGAACGATGCAGTAATGATCTGAAACTTTTTCTCTGATGAAGCCAGATAACGTATGCAAGTTACTGACTCTGGTAACTCTATGATCTATAGACGTTCTAGTCATTTTATCGCCATAATATTCTTCTCTACTGAAGTCATGTATTACATTTTCTAGCCCAAAAGAAGAGAGAGTGTCAAGGTAACTCGAGGCTCCGTATTTAGCCTCCTTGGAAACATCAATGGAGCCGCCTCGGTGGCTCCGAGGCGAGAGCGCCGGCCTACGGATCCCCAGGTGGCAGGTTCGAATCCCGACCGAGGTGCCCGCAATATGACGGAGGCTTATTGCGGAGAAGGCGCCGTGTAACCGAGCTTTCGGTTGCACGTCAAAAGATCCCCAGGTGGTCGAAATTAATCCCCAGTCGTCCGCTGGGGCGTGCCAGATGCCCGTCGTAGGTTTGGTACGTAAAACCCCCAAATTTGACTTTTTAACATCAATGGTAATATCACCGGCAAGAACGAAATATTTATTTTTATTGAATTTACTAAATAGAGCAGACAATTCTTCGATGAACAGATGAATGTTGGAGCTTGGTGGTCTATACACAGCTCAGGCAATGTAAGAGAAGACGCGTTTGTGGATGGATACAACTCATGCTTCTGAATGTTCCAATGAAATGTCAGGTCAATCCGACATACACCTGTCGTTAACAAACGTAATTAGCCCACCTCCATTTTTTTTCTCGGCATAAATGATATACATAAAAGCTGTCTAAGGTGAACGTTTTGCATACTGTTTTTTTTACATTAATTTCAGTTAAAATAAGCACGTCCAAGGAAGATAATCTTTCTGATAAACGCTTCATACGTGTTGATCCCAGTGTTTATTTAAACACCTCACATTTATGTGCAGTAAGTTTAACTTTATTTCACCGAAATTCTTCTTCCCTCAAGACTCGTTTTGTGTCCCAGAGTTTAAATGATTCAAGTGAACTCTCCATGTTTACCTCTTTTTTTCTAAGTATCTTTCGTCTTCCATGTGAATAACAGCTGAAGCCTCTTTTTGGCGTACAAAAACCTTCCCGTTTCTGGTCCATACAAACTTTTAGGTCTTTTCTTTAGCACGGTTCTTAGCTTACCATAACAAATTCCTGTTTCGCCTTGTCGAGTTTTCATTGATATAAATGTGTTCGTTCCTCAATGCCAGTTCATTTTTTTTTTTTTCGAGATGTCTCTCATTTTTTTTTTTTTTTTCGTGAACTTCATTAACAAGGAAGGTGTTTTACCTTTCTTTGCTCTAAGCCTGTGCACTGCCTCAACGGCTTCACCTGTCAGTTCGGGAAGTTGTAATTTTACGGCTATTTACTTAATCACATATATTGCATCCTCATTCGGCTGCTGAGTGATTCTGCGAATTTCAATATTCTGTCGTCTAGAATATTTTTCAGCCTTGTACTTTGCGGTTTTCAGTTCCTGTATTTCCGCATCCCTTTTGGCAATTTCTCCCTCCAATTCACTAGACTTTTTCTGCAGACTATAAATCGCTTTTTCAAGGCTACCCAGTCTTGAAAGTGTGTCGTCCCTTTGCGTGGAAAGGCTGTTGAATGTCTATTCCTTCAACGGTTTTGCTTTCATTATTAAGCTTTGCCAACATTTATCATCTCCTTTGTTAGTTTGTGTTTCCAAGCACTTTTCGGCAGCATGTAATATGACGAGAACGTCTGGCAACCGCTGGCCGATAACTTCATTTTGCTTTATTTGTCTTTCGAAGTCAGGCTCCTGTGCGTTTTGCTGCTCTAAATGTCTCTCTGCTGTAGATGGATGCTCTTGCGAAGATGCTAAATTGACGGCTGGCATGTACCGGTATTCAAGTATAAGTTATGGTGCTATGCGTCTTTATTATTAACATTTTCTCGCTTTTTACTTCTAATATAATCCTTATTCGGATACTGATAGTATTGTGAAGTAAACAAAACAGTCTTAGTATTGTACTTGAAAAACTTCGGATTGACAGTATTGCCCTAGGAAGTTCTCGTAATTTTGTATCATTGTTTATTCACAAAATATCCCAGAGTATCCTCTAAAAAATAAGATTGACTTACACAGCACGCTTCATATAAAACGAAAAAATAATTAAAACAGCTACTTTAAGTACGTCACCGTACTTGCACTTGAACAGATGATCGCTCACTTGATTGTAGTCCAGCCACATCAAATATAGGAGGAGGCAGCTGAAGCGCATCTCACTAATGAATTGTCCTTTTACCAGCAGGCAAAAAAAAAAGCAAGCCCATGGAACATCCCGTACAGGAAGACACCTCTACCACCTCAGGCAGCGATCTCCTCAACACGACCGTGTCAGAAACAAAATCAAGCAGGGACGAGTCCCTAGCCCAGGTAGAAGTAGCGGTGCTCACCTTCATCTTCGGCTTCACCGTCCTCGGTAACACATGCGTGCTGGTAGCCCTCGCCGCCCGACGGTCCAAGATGACCCGGATGTACTATTTCCTCATCCATCTGTGCGTCTCGGACCTCACTACAGCCTTCCTGAGCGTGCTTCCTCAGCTGGGCTGGGACGCCACACACCGGTTCCGAGGCGGCAACCTGGTCTGCAAGGCAGTCAAGTTCGGACAGCTCCTGGGACCTTACCTGTCCTCGTACGTGCTCGTGGTGACTGCTGTGGACCGCTATCAGGCCATCTGCTTCCCCCTCTCAAACTGTTCCTGGTCTCCCACAAAGTGTAAACTTCTCATCGCCGGTGCTTGGGTGGCGGCGCTGGTGTGCTGCGTGCCGCAGGTCTTCATCTTCAGCTACCAGGAGGTGGCTCCAGGAGTGTTTGACTGCTGGGGTACCTTCGCGCAGCCCTGGGGACTCCGCGCGTACGTCACGTGGTACAGCGTGTCCGTCTTCTTCGTGCCCCTGGCTGTGCTCAGCTTTACGTACGTCTGCATCTGTCGTTCGATATGGCGGAATCTGTACCTGAAGAGGAAAAGTTCGGACGCGGAGTCCTGGAGCGGCAGTCGCACGTACCGGTTCAAGGGCACCTCGATGGACAGCCACAAGACGAGCTCGAGCTTCGTGGGTCCCCGGAGTCACTCCGTGCGAGGGATGTCCAGAGCCAAGGTGAAGACTGTGAAGATCACTGTGGTGGTGATTGCCCTGTACATCGTCTGCTCGTCTCCTTTCATCTGCGTCCAGATGTGGATGTACTGGAGTCCCGACGTAGACCTGGCGGACGTGTGGATAAGTAAGATGCACCTTGTTAAGTATTGAGTAGCAGTCATGTATACATCGTACAGAAGACACGGGATGTTCCCTGCACGCACAATGATGTAATTATTTGAGGATACGCCTTGATGATGTTTCAAGCATCTTTGCTTCATTATGCCTCAAAAATATCAGCAGACAGTTTTTTGTATGACCAATGTCACAGAACTGTCGTACAAGGAACAAACACGTCTCAGACAGTAGGGAGTTTTAGGGAACCGTTTTTGCACATCCGATATGGCGTACGATGGACCTTCCGGTACGTACTGCGCATGTGTGGGTCTTCTGCTGTAGCACATGTGCAGTTCGTACCGGAGGGCCCATCGTACCGTAATGGGCGTGCAAAAACGGTTCCCTGAAACTCCTGCAAGCGGTGTTTTGTACGATGTATTATGCCTGTGTTGCACTAGAGCGACAGACAGAAACAAACGACAGCGACAAGCCTCAGACCAGAGTCTTTTGCGATTTGAGAGGCTTTGTAGAATGAAGGATGCTATGCTCAAACACAAGCATCATGCACGCCAGAGTATCTTTGGCAGGCTTGCAATCACTCGTGCTTACTTCACGAGCACCGAACGACTAAACGCCTGCCAAAGGTACCATCGCGAGCACGCTGCATGGGTTTGAGGCTCGTCGCTCTCTTTTGTTTCTGTCTGTCGCTTTAGTGGGACACGGGCATTAGTCGTGCGACCGCGGTTTGGGCGCTACAGCAATGCAGGATATCTGTCGCTCGAAAACTCCCTGCTTTCTCTGCATGCCATAACGCCGTGCATTTTGTATGATGTATACGAACAGTGTGAGTTAACCAGACGAAGTCGTTCTTTCCGTCAATCTGTTTGTTTCGTATCCGTGCCACAGTGCGGGCCACGCGCGATGCCCGCACTAGCGAGCCATTTAGAGACCACGCCGTGTATATTGTTCCGACGAGTGTATATACCACTGTGCCGATTTTGTATACGCACGTCGGAGAGCGACGTATACACCACGTGGTTTGCGACCGGTTTGTGATTGGCCCTGGCAGTCCGTGGCTGTATCGCCCGGGGTATACGTGTGAGACGTAATAGATCGGCCTGGCGATCTCCCGGCGACCATATCATCATCATCCCTGTAGCCAATCAGAGTGCGGCATTAGCCGATAAGAACTCGGAAGAACCAATCACGAAGCGAGATAAGCATTAACATAATGAGCCACGCCCTTCGTTTCCTAAGTCGGTAGGGATGTATGAGGGGTAGTTCCTTGACTGCCTCTCATACCCTTCATACCCCTCATACATCCCTGACTTTTTCTAAAGCCTCGGGGCGTTCAAAAAAGTCAGAGAACTACCTCTCATACAACACTGTGCTCGCTCGACGAATGGTATAGTGCATGAAGGTCTTGCCACGCTATTCCTTGCCAGCGGTCGAGTGCGCGCCACATTCTACGAGCTTGCTTATCTCTCTTGCTCCGCTATAGCGTAAAACGCCAGTATATTTCCGTCAGGCTTCTGCCGAAACCCGACCTGGGCCTAAATATATATATGGGCGTAGGAGGAAACCAATTTACTGACTCCAGGAATCGCCGGCGCATGCAGGCTCGAACAAATACCGTTTCCACGACAGTCGCTTAATTCACTCAGCTTTTACGAAACACGCCACAGGCACTCGAAGATAATTTATCTCGCTCTAGCGGCCAGGGAAAGTCAGGACGCTTCTTTTTGCCGCCATTGCCAATGCTTCTCTGCCCGTGACGCCAACCAGATTAGCTCTCGGCAAAACGGAGGGAATGCAGCGCTGCAGCCGCGGTGGACGAACCTTGTTAGTGAAATGGACAGGAAGTGACAATCAAGCGCAAAAAACAGGGGACAGTGACCGTCGATTTCTACACTTGCCTTTTTTTTTCTTTTTCCCTCAAAACTCCGACAACGAAAAAATAAAAAAATACAAGATATATCTCGTATGGACTTTGTAACGTGTGGTTTAGGCATTACCGAACAACTGATAAAAATGCATAATCAACTTTTATGGTGCATGGAGGATATTGCAATTTTCCACCTTCCTTGCTTTCTTTGCTTGTCTTTCGCTGTTATTGGTGATAAAGTAAGCTTGATGGTCTTTTCGTTATTATTATTTTTGCTTTCCGAGAAGAGTTCTGTAATCTGTGTTGACGTGATTGGTTCTCGGCCGTTTACTTACATGCCGAACTTTGGTTTCGTATTTCATAAAAGCGGAGCTTTTCTGTATCGATACACCAGGGCGTCTCTTTCAAACGCCCTGGCTCCAGCACGTGCTTGTTGCCTTCAGTGGTGCTTTGGCTGCGCATGCACGCCCGAGGCTGACGAGATACTGAAGCGTCATCGAAGGCACGAAGCTCGTGCGTGCGGGGGCGGGGACAACTGGCACTCCTGCCTACCGATCTCATCGCAACTGAAGAAGAATATACGAGCATACGGCGACGTCAAAACGTCGAGCCCTGATTGGACGGATCAGTGGGTACACGCGAAGGATAGCTGCCTTTGTTCTATACTCATTGTCTCCCTCCAATCAGAGTGAATAAGAGCGTCGTCTGCTTCTCGCGCCATGCAGGGTCTCACGTTCGAACGCTGCAGGCGCCGGCGGTCGGCGCTTAGCGTTCGAACTCGTTCGCTATGATTGAGACAATGGATAGAAACAAAGGCAGCTATAGTCACTGATGTTTCAAGAAACAGAGGGCGCAACTTATAACGTTTCCGATTCTTGCCACATCATTGGTTCTTCGGCGTTCTTACCAACTCATGCCGCAATCTGATTGGCCGTGGAGCAATAATGAGATGCACGGGGCTATAGCCACCGTCCCCGTGCTTCTCTTACCCTGTCGGGGACCGTACAGCCTTCGCGTGTACCCACTATTCAAGCCAATCCGAGCTCGGCGTTCTGACGTCAGCGCACGCTCTCGCCTCCTCCTCTCCACCGACACGCGGCTGTGACGTCATGCCGCTGCGGTGGCGCTGCTGTCGCCACGGCGCACGCGCGGAAGCTTCCGAATCTGGTTTCCGCGCATGCGCAGTGCCCATCCGACGGGCCCGCGGCTGGCCGCGGTCCTTTCGGTAAAGCGCCCGGCCCGCGCGTTCCGCATCCACCAGACCCGCGCCGCTACCGGCGCAAAAAAGAGTGCGCGTCGAGAAAATGCGCAGCGGCGCGCTTCAAATGGGGCAAACGAAGATACCGGAAAGAGCGAGATAGACGGCATCGGAACGCGCCACATTTTTCATAAAACCAAGCACCATTCTTAGTCACGTGCTTCGTGTCTAATATTTGAGTTAAAATTCCCTCGCGTTCTCGCGTGCATTGTCTTAGTGTCCTCTATCACAACTATTAGATATCGTCAGCGTTAATTTGATCATGTTCACTAGTCTTTCGCGCGGCGCGAATGTGCCAAATTTGTTCCCATGCGCTTTGCTTTATAACTGGTGAGTTTTCTTGGGCACAAGTGTTGTGTAATGTCATACTTAGCTAAATATGACGCCTACAATCGAAGTATATGTATTCATCCACCTCAGGTTTCTTCTTTTAACACGTACTCTAACATTCCTTTTTTTGGCGTTTAAATACTTAGCTAGGTTTATTTATGTAATTTTCTCCTCGTTCTTAGTTACTCCCTTTTCTCCCGGCCCTCGTCGAAACTGCGACAAATCCCCAATTCGGCCCTTTAGCCAAAAAAAGTTTGGAGATTTCTGGTTTATAGCAGTACAATAACTCGGCAGACGTGATGCCCAGCGCGACCGCGAGACTGTTAAGCGTCTTTTGCTGTTGCGGTTCGCCCGAGGCACGTTCAGCTCCGTTGTTGTTCCTGCAGAACGCGGAAACGATGGACATGCACACGCATATAAACAAGGTCATTGCGTTGTTAACACGGCAGGACGCTCGCGTCAAAGCGCGTGGAACAGGTAAGTAACGACCGGGCGCGCTAGGCCGTTCGACGATGGTTAATAACTCGCAGTTCCATACTCGACAGTATGAAAACCCAAAACAAGGGGGGCTCGTGTTCTGAGAGCGTTGAGAAGAAAAATAGGGCTTGCGGAAGCCCGCGGGGCGAAATGCGCCGACTTATAAACAGCGAGTTGGTGTTCAGCCTCCTCGTTAACATCAACTGTACGAGCAAGGTGCAAGGAAGCAATTATTGTTTAGCGAACAGGCGCCACTAGTTTCTATAGCGATGCGTCAAAAGAATATTACACGGATATATCAATCTGTGTTTTAGTACTTATGCATACGCGAAACCCGGGAATCCCATAGTAGAGCCCAAATTTAAGAAACAACGAAGTTAATTCATACACAAAAAAAAGGTATATGTGGCAAGGGTGAATTCGATTCTCCGAAGAGCCTTTCCAGATCACTTTTGTTTATGTTTTACAAATAGGCGACTGGTATATACACCCTTTTCTATAAGGGCGCAACCGTCTTGAATGACGTCACAAGTTCTGGTATGCGGTAAAACATGTTTTTGATCTCTCCACGCCGCTGGAAGGTGTTTACGAAAAATGCGTAATTGTCACACATTGTTGTTGTGTCTCACATATATTTTCTCGCATATTCCAGGTTGAAATGGTTTACTATGTTTTCATTCCGCATTACCAGATATGAAAATCACGTGACTAAGAACGACAGAAAACAGAAAACGTCTATAGGTTTGAAACCCCGTACATTCCTAGACTTAAAAAAAAAAAAAAGATCACGTAAATTGAACGTGAACACAATTATAGCACGTACCGAATTCGACGCGCTGATCCATCAACCCCTTTGAGTCGGCATAAGTTTCTAGTTGCGCTCCACCGCTCGCGACAATATCGCTTCCTTAAAATATACGAAAGGTTGTAAAGTTTTACTGCTTCAGATTGCGCAAAAAAAAAAGTTATGTCGAAATTTAAGCGTCGACATACTTGCAGCCTTCTGGCTATTTTTTTTTTTATTCTACCCTGTCACTAGCACGACATTCTCGATGAAGTAATGACGCTGCCACATGAC